GTAAAGAACAATTGTAAGGTATTTCATTTTAATATAATATTTGTATTATATATTTTTTTAAATACGGCCCGCACTGAAAAAATTTCATGGGTCCGCCCCTGCACCGAGGGCCAATTGTTCTATCAAATACATTACTTCTAACTCGTCGCGTGGAACTATTATTGCCCTTTATGCTAAAATTGACTCAATAATGTGACCTAGTTGGCGTGTAAACTAGAAGTGACTTTAGATGATATGTGCCTTTGTGCAGTTTCTCTTAAAATTCCAGATTCTTTACAAAATGAGTCAAATTCTGAGTTACAAAACTCAAGATTATTATCAGTCCTTAGTGCTTTGATTTTCTTGTTTGTTTGGTTCTCAATCAAGGGTTTCCACTGTTTAAAAACTTTAAAAGTATCATATTTGTACTTTAGCAGAATGGTCCAGATTTTTCTTGAAAAGTCATCAACTATAAGTAAATAAAATCTACATCCACTTAGAGTATTTACAGATGTTGGATCCCAAAGGTCAGCATGTAAATAATTCAAAATTGAAGAGGATTTATGTGTTCCAATTTTAAAAGGTAACCTTTTCTGTTTTCCCAAAATACTGTTTACACAAAAATGTAACTGTTTGATTTTATCTTTACCAAAACAACCAAATTTATTTAAAATGGTAAGTCCCTTTTAAGAAATGTGACCAAGTCTCTTATGCCAAATTAGAGACTTATTAGATTCAATGTTTAAGGCTGCAGAACAGTGATGAATGACAGGATCAACAGAGACAGTATAAATCTCGTTTAGTTTCAGAGAAGATATGACAGTTTTATTTCCTTATTTAAGTCTTAAGAGACCCTTTTGAATCATTATAATAAATCTATCATCCAATTGACCCAAAGAAATCANTTGGCGACAAAGTTGCCATTATTTGGGCCATTTCTACCATTAGCCTGAATATTTATTCCATCATTAACACATGGGGTATTATGTCCGTTATTCGGGACATTGTCTCTTATATTTAGGTTACCCCCAAATTTTGATATACCATTACCACTATTCAGATTTAGAACTACACTACCCCCCTAGTTTGAAGTAGACGGACCAAAATGTGGTTCTATCCCTTGATTTGGACTTAGGATTGGGGAATTATATCTTACAATCGTCCTAGTTTGAAAGTGATGTGCGATAGGCACAACTGGCAGACAAATTTGGCCTACTGACTTGTTCATTATTTCATTTAATGTATTTAGTTGTTTTGCCATGTTGTCATAATGTGCATTCCCATTTTGGGTGAATCTTTCTATATTATGAACATTTCGTAGATTTACCTATTCAACAACATCCTGTGTGA